TAAAGCTTTTGTATAGATTCATCAAAAATGAATTTTGTCAACAACTAGACGTATAAAAAAAATATTTTTTTATACTTATCCTAATTATTAAAGAACGTACCTTTATTGTTTTTAGAATAATTAATATTGGTTTTTCGACTCAACATTTTTATTTTGTTTGTATTAAGTATAGTCGAAGTTTCTAAAAGTTTATAAAACCCTTATTTATCAAATGGAAATTTTGAATATCTAGTTGATTGTTAATTGTTATTACGTCGATTTTTTTTTTGATTTTCTCTGAAACAAAAAGTTCCTAATAAAAATGTTAAAATATGCGGTACATCTGTTTTCAACAAAATCGAACATGGATATTTTGTTGTACATATTTCAAAAAATAAGACATTCTTCAACTTAAGCCTTGATGTTTTCAGTTTTACGATATAATTTATTCAAGTGCACATTTATTTTATAGAATCAATTTCAAATACATACCTAAATACACATAAAAAATAAAAAAATAATTTTTTTAAATTCAATAAATAGGTAGATAATCATTGCATACTATATTATTATATAATCTTATATTATTCAATTATTATGTATATATTTTACAATCATAGTTCTAGTGATAATAGACCTATTATGTACAAATGCAAAATATGTACAGGATAATATGTCTGGATTTTAAGGTTTAAACGGTGAAGGTATATCACTTGAAAAGTGCATATACGACATATGTAATACTAATCATTATTTTATAAAAAAAACATGGGCGATAAATATTGTTAAGTGAGTGTTTGTTCCGAACACTTTTATTTAATTCACGGATTATGGTTGCGATATTTAATATATAAACATATTTTTTTTTTTTTTTTTATTGAACTAAAGCCCGGTAACTATAGCCATTAGCTATTCTTAGTGAGGAACGGTTGGTTTACAACACTACGTATTCAGTTCTGTATGTGTGGCAGGGATTTTGTTGCTAAAACCCCTGCAGGTGGTCACCCATCCGAGTGCTAGTAACGATAGCCGGTACGAGCGCTTAGAGTGTTGCTACAGATTTGGACAGATTGAGCCTTACTAACCCGTTTAATATATTTTGAATTTCTTGATAGTTACTTAATTATTTATTTTTACATTTGTCATATTATGTCGTAAGGGGCCTCAGATTTTTTTTTAAAACATCTACGCGACTGCACATTTTATTATTTTTTTTATTACATGATAATAAGCACGATACACACACACACACACACACACACACACACACACACACACACACACACTCATGCGATGATAATATTATTACAATCAAGTTATCATGCGGTGCTGCTGACTCTCAGCTCATAGCTGCAGCAGCGTTTTGCGACAAATCGAATGTAATATAATGTCATACATAATATTATTATTATACAATACGCGATATCGTAAAAGAATAAAATAACTTACGGAAAAGTTATTTTATAGGATCCACGAAAACTGTCGGAGGGTTTCTGGGAAGGGGGGCGGTCGGAGACGGAAAAGAAATCTCTAAGCAAATAATACGACGATATTCGACCGCGGGCGACGGACTATATACGTATCGTGCTCTTACGCGGTAAAGCCCACGACGAGGGTGCGATGGGAGAGGGTATTATGTGTGTATATATAATAAAATATATAAATTCATACACGCTAGATCACAAAAAAGAGATCATTGTGTTCCACAGCTGCAGTTCCTGCTGCCGGGAAGTCGTGTTGTAACGCTATATCATGCGCAAAAAAAACTTTTCACTACCCGACCGACGAAAACGTCAGCCAGCGTTTGAGTTTTGGTTTTTTTTATATAATATACTTATATATATATAGGTATGCACTTTGTTTTGCTTTTTTTCTTACGCCGTCGACCGCTGTAACCCTTTTTTCCAGCTTTTTCACGTCGTCGTCGTCGCTACCGGATGATATATCCCTCCTCCCGACTGCGTCCGCGAGCACTATTCAAATCCGATATCATATCGCCACCGTTTGTCCGTCCAAATATCTGTCGACGTAGCCATATGTATAGTGAGTTTTATGCTTTTATCCGGGACGCGTGGCGTGCACGCGCATATTCTACGGCCAAAATCTCCCACAGTCAGCATGGCCTGATGGTTAGACTGACAAAAAATAAATAATAAAAAACAAATACTCACACACACCCACATTCTCTCATAATAATCGAATCCCTTGTAAGAGTGAACGGAAATGTCGCGACTGACGCGTTTTTGAATTTTTTTGCACCATACATATATATACCGGATACTAGGTATATAGGTGCTCCTCAATCTGGAAAAAAATAATAATGTAAACCGACAAGCACCCGTCACCGCACTCCCGCAATATATTGTCATAAGAGATAACAATACAAATCCGGATGTTCGACAGCCGATGGTTTTTTTTTTTTTTACAGCAATACATTTTTTATTTTATAGGACCCTCGCGTGAAACGGAATATTGTGTCATCCTCGACGCGAACAACGCGTCTGGTTATTAATTATTAATAATAACTGTTGTCGTTATAACACCGCCTTTTGTTGTTCGGTGTATTTTCCTTACCTGTTTAATAACTATTATAAAGCATTTCATATCATATCATATCCACGGTTGAAGGCATAAGAAAATATTTAGTGAAATGTACAAAGGGGAGACGTCTAAATTGCTTTGCACTCCTACACAAAATCCTGCGGTCGACTTGATTCGTCGTCAATATTGACTTTTATTATACTTTTATTGAACTCTGTAAATTATTATAATTTCGTTTTACATGTGTAATTATGATACAATAAAAAATGTACTCATGTGGTTTACATGTATAATATGAATTACCCATATGATATAGTTATATTCTATAAGCAACACACCTAATGTGCAACAACAGTTAATGCAATATATCCTACTATATTATGTAAGTAGGATCCAACCTCCCTCGGTATTTATATCAATCAATCGTAGACCTGTATTGAATTTAATAAGACATAACCTAGTAGTGTAGTGTATACAAATAAGTGCACATCATTTTTTAATATAAAAAATGTACTTGGCATATTTTACACATTTTAAGAAATAATCATCTTATACTTTGGGAAGGGGAACTAAGGCCCCGCTTTTTGAAACGTTTGATGAGTCCTCTCAAGCCACACCCTCACAATTTATTTTTATGATCGCTGGTCTATCCACATATTGTTTTGTCCGTTTACTATTTTATTGTGTATTACACGCTTATTGTAAATGGTGTAACCGATTATCAACGATATAAATTGAACAAGGTAAACTATGTAATATGTATATTATGATACAGTGAAAAAAAAACAATGAATATAAAAAGAATTATTAGAATAATTACCCAGTTAGGACAAAATAATTATAAATTATAAAAGTTGGTACGTATGTAATGTTGTAATGATTCGATTTGATTATTTATATATGTTTAGTTATAACTTATGGTTATTATATTTATATTTTTTCTATTGAGTCAATAAATATGCATTTTTATAAAATTGTATATTCTATTTGGATTTCAGCAATCACAATTAAAATGTATAATAACCAACTAGTTAAAATCTGTATAGCTTTTTAGAAATAAATTTCGGTTTTTTTATAATTGAGTTTGGAGTGTTCGAAGTACCCGTAATATTGTAAGGGGATTAAACTTTCATAACAATAGAATTTACATTCATATTATAATGGTTGCACTCTTAACTAATATTTTAGGTTTTCATAAAAAAAATGCATATCTCTCATACACGTTTAATAGGATGTTAACAAGTTTCGCGACGACTGTGCACTTACAATTCTCATCTACATTTCATGTACGTACGTATTTTCAATTGGCTTACAGTCTACAGATACGTATGAAATAATTTTTTTACAGCGACTGCAACTTTTTATAATATTTCTGTCTCATGAACTTGTCTTTTTGTTATTACACACAGAACTGGTAGCGGTTGTTGTATCACATGTAGTAGGTACCTACACAATAATTATTTTCAATACTTGACTGACATACTTTAATGCATTGTTGATATTACCAACCATTAATTCACTTTCAATAATAAACTAACAATAATTTACAATTTACGTGGATACAATTTAAATCATGTCCATTATTTTTGTGTATAAAATATGTATAGTCAATAATCATATACTACAGCCCATTTTATGATAGCTATTATACGTTTATAATGTACAACATATAAAACATTCATATCGCTATTATTATAAACATAAATTATTTGTTTCTAATTTTTTATTTATTCTCTAATTAAATCTTTGAAAAATTATCTATTAAGATAAGGAAAAAGTGAATAGAAATTTGTTTCCTTTAAACCACTTTTATGTACAAGACTCGGTGACTTCTAAAATTATCCACGAGGGTCCGATAAGTTTAAATTAGTGAATCCCTACAGTTACCTATATTTTTTTTTATTTTGTAGAACTGAAAAGGATATTAATTTTTTTCTATTATCCATTATTAATACAAAACGCGTAATATATTATGTTTATAAATATCAGTATAATTTGTAATTTCTAATGGAAATAAAGCCATCATAAAAATCGAAACAGAGCGATGCTTAATCAAAATAATTTTCACATGATTTATTTTAATTAAATTCTCTTTTGAAATATTAAATATTTTCGTATTATATAAATAATTCACTAAACAGTTTAAGAAATGCCAAACAGTTTATTTTCATTTAGAATTGTTTTAAAAACTAAATTACAAACATACTATTATATTATAGTGTCTAGAAACGATATCTTGAGAGTTAAGATATTCATAAATCATAATAAGCTCGTAGCGATATTCTTTAGTTGTCAATTAATCAATTAACACAAATAAGATATTGTATTGTATATTCATATAGGTAGGCAAAACATGATTTTAATTATTATAACATTTTTTTTGGATGGCATTTAGTATATTTAAACGACAATTTAAAAAAGGGAAAAATACAAACTTATCAAAATAAAATCTTCAAATAATTATTTATTTTAACTTACAGTACCTCCAGATATATTGGACTACCCGACCAGCACCGATATGGCGGTGAGGGAAGGAGGTAACGTTTCGATGCAATGTGCTGCGTCCGGATTTCCCACTCCCAGTATTACTTGGAGAAAGGAAGGTGGCCATTCGATATCCTTAAGCCCCAACACAGATGGTAAGTCATAATAAATATAATTACTAGATCAGAGTATATAACACTAGAAATCATCAAATTAATATTTTCTTATCAAATATGGTTAAAAGTATACATTGCAACCATTATTATTTTTCAATAAATTAATGACTCACAAAGTACTAAGAGTTAATTAATTAATTAAAAAAAAAAAAAAATTGGTTACTAATAGCACACCATAAGAAACTGTGGACTTCGAAATAATACTAAATATCGATTTTAATTTTAATTTCAACTATACTTTTAATGAAAAAAATGAAAAGGTAAAATAATAGCTGGAGTAAATAATATCTGAGTAAAAAAAATTAGGTATTAAAAGAAAAAATATCCAGGTAGGAAAAAAAATTGTTAAATTATGCATAATTTATATCTAGAAAAGGGTTTCTTATTAAAATTGTTAGAATACATGTTATACGATAGTTTTCACCGAAGATAATGTAAAAATTCTACAATTTAATAACATATATGTACTCAAATTTAAGTTGTATTTTATTATTCTCATATCTTACCTGTCATTATCGTCACATGAGTAATATTTAGATGTAGAATAAATATTATTAAGCAATGTATAAGTATATACCAATATGGTTCGACTTGCATGGTGAAAAATAACCATTATGTGCATATATATGTACTTGATCACAAAATAATATGTTATTGATATATTATTTGATAATAAAAATATAATTATAATATTTCAACAGTATAAAGTAGTTATTATGTTATAATTAGAACCTGGACTTTTATGTATTTACATCAAACCATACTATTCTATGTATTTAAAAAAATTATACAAGTACCTATTTAAATAATATATTAAATGAACCATTTATTTGAGAAACGACGTTACAAAATTCATAAAAGGTTATTCTGAGAAAACAAGAAAAACTGTTTTTACCTACTCTACCAGTGATACATGGTTAAACTCTTTCATACTGATTATTTTCAGTGGTAAAATTAAACATTTTTTTTTGGAAATGTTCATACATGATCCGTCTATCATTTGATTACGCATTCCACTCAATATTTCAATTTGTGATATTTTGTGACTTACGTCGTTTTTGAAATAGGTGGTTCAAATAGTTTTTAATTTATTATTATTGATTTGAAAAATGTATAAAACGTAAAGAATAAGTATTAATATTCAAAATCGCTAAACATATGAACTATCATTGTCCATAGATTACATAAAAGCGATAATGACAAATATACGATTGATAATTTATTATCAGAGCTTAAAAATAGGAATACAATATATTATTTAGATTAAAATGTGTTGTTTTACTATCGTTCGAACACGGGTTGAAATCGTTGGAACTTTAAGGGCACTACGAGCTTTGTTGATATCGACTGCGTATTCACATAAACACAAATCGTTTTCAATACAATATATGTATAAAAATATATTGCAAAATAGCGAAATATATACCTGACATAAAACTCGGCTTATTTTATTCAGAAAGTAATTTAGGCAACTATACAATATTATATAGTCAAATTCAGAGCCCTATTTTAATTGTAATATACCATACCAAGGGGCGCGTTTTATTTGAAAACACATAATTATTTACATAAGTTATTATTGGAATGAAAAAATAAAAATTGCATACTACAATACTTTCCAATATATAGACTACCGTGTTAACTGTCACTACTGCAGCAATAACATTTAATATTATAATATGACACGTATTATAATAGTCAATTAATGTACACGTTATTATTTATTCCATCGATTTTCGTAACACTGCAATGTCTTCTTAAGTTGAACCGATCATTATTTAACATGCAAGGGACTATAATATACTGTGCATTTGTGTCCTCTCATGATATAGTTTAATGAGACAATGGAAAATACATCTTGGCGCGATTTCGCATCGTGTAACAACGGTGAGCTTGTTACGAGCGCTGTTTTAACGTTTCAAACGCATGCATACGGCGTTCTTTCTTTATAGCCATATTTTCATAACAATGTCAAGCCCATATGATGATGATGATAATAATAATAATGATGATAATAATAATAATAATAATAATAATACTCTTTAGTCTTGACTTTTGACTAATAACCGAAATAACGACATCAAAAGTTATACAGCCGTATTATATAGTTATTGCCTCTGGATATCGCGCCACCGTATGCCGTAGAAGAAATAAGGATACCAAACATAATATGGTACAGAGAAAACTATCCGGAAAAAAGTTCAAAGTTATTCGATTACCTAACTATATCTTTGTGAATCTACTTTAATATAGCAAAACGAACAATTTAAATACTATAAAACGGAACAATTTTTATGGTTCTTGCGACGAATTATTTATTTTTATTTATTTTTTTCATATAACAAAACAGACTCCTCCGGTCGATATTTTTACAGCTTGCCTATATATATATATGCGCGTGCATAAAGAATGCACAGTATAAAAATTTAAAATTTAAATTCTATAAAATATATCGATTAAGTATAAAATACGTCACCTATATTATGTAGACAGGACAGGTAGGTGGTTTAGGTAATGGGAATTGTTCAACACTCATTTTTCCGGAATGTCGCGGAACTATTTGTTGTTTTTTTTATTAATATTATTATTATTATTTAATTTGTAGAACAAATCAGCGCGTGACGTAGATTTATCGGCAATACCGCCGTAGACTTACGAGATTAATGGAACTTTGCGCGAATCACATTTTGAGCGTCCTGTTTACGGAGTGAATACCGTTGCGACCGCGAGCCGGCCACTGTGTCGTAAATGTGTAAGTCTTCGCGAGGAGTGGTGTTTGATGCAATTACAATATCACACTGTACATAATATAATAATATTTCAATATATTATTTTATAAAGGTCATACACCGTATAGTATTGTACATAGTATTCACTATACATAATACGTAACGGCTACATGCAATATACGGTCTGAAACGCCTAAAAGGGACAGCGAATGTTAAACGATTTGGTTTCTATCCAAATCCGTTTATTCATTGCGACCTAATTTATTTGATCTCAAACTTTCATGGGAGAACTTTCCATTTTTTTAGACGGTTTTGTTCTTAAAACTAAAATATCAAAATGCAGATTAACAATGAATTGCCTCTATACTATTATCATGTGTTTCAATCATACACATAATTAACATTTATAATAAAATTGTGATTTCAAGATTTAACACATTTAGGCTTTAGATTTTAAAATAATTATTGCATTTTTTTTTTGATTCAACGATTCAAAAAGCTTGCAAAAATTTGGTATTGATTAAAGTGAAACTTGTCTTATATCAAGTAGTAATTTTTCTGAGACAATGTAATTTATTCAGCAGTATCTTTTAAACATTTATCTAAATATAGCTAATATTTTTAAGCTAAATAATATATTATAATATTTATTCAAGTCGATTTATGTCATAATATATTGTAAATTTGAATTATTTTAAATTAATTATCAAACTTATAATAATTACTTCGTAAAAATTATGTTAATCTAACGGACTTTGTAAAAATACTTACATTCTAAAGTATTCAGGTGTTTTAAAATAAAACTGTCATGATTGTTGTAGCATTTTATCATCAAAATATTATTATATAAAAATTACAGAAGGAATGATAAAATGTAAGAACACTGTGTGCTGACTGAATAACTTACTCCAAGAAATGTAAGTGGGGAATAAGGATTTTTTGTAATTTAATTTATTTTTTACAGTGTTAAAAATCTGTGGTTTTTACATTTGTTTATTGTTTTCATTGTAAAGATGGTAATTATAAAAATGTCTAAATATAAGATAATAATATATACAAGTATAGTTTTTAATTATTTGTTTTCTCTTATAATATTGTAAACAAATCTAACTAGTTTAATTACCTAACTAGCCTACCTATCATCCAATTAAATAATTTAAAGTTTGAATATTCACAACACTCATATTCAGGCATTGAAAATAATGTTAATATTTATGAGTTTTATAATATTATGGGTATATAATTTTTTTGATGGGTAAATATGGTAAATAATTTATCTCATAAAATATTAACAACTGTTGATGTTTTAATTTTTAATGTTATTTCTTATTATTAACGTCCAGCGTGGTGTTTATATTATAAAATGTATTTGTTTTGTAGTAAAATATATAAAACATTGACCGTCTGTGGTAATTATAAGAGAATACTTGAATACAATTTATTAGCTTCTTTGAACACTTTTCCAAACTCCCTACTCAAATCTATTCAACTTATTCAATTATTTTCGAATTAATATAGTGGCATTAATGTAACTCTTGTACAATGAACTCTAAAAGCTGTGTTTTTTGTGACATTTCATTCAAACACAATATTGGCTAAACAATGTTTAATATCATTATTTTATCTTAATAAAAGGTTATATTATAATTATGTAATAACAATATAATATACCTAACCAATAAATATTCAAAAATAACAATTTTTATAGTTTTTAGATCTCATTGTATTTTACCTAATGGTTATAATATAGCAATAATTATTAAGGACATAATGTATATAATTATGTATTGAATAATAATAATAGTATAATATAAAATATACATTAGAACGAATGACAATATTACTTAAGTATAAATAATAACTAATAAATATGTAGAATAAGCAAATTGTTTATTATACACGATATTTAAACATGGACAGGTAACGTTTTAAAAAAAGTAATGGGAGAATGTTATAAACCTCCCGTTTCGTAATTTTTGGTGTAACTATTTTCGCTTACACATTACAGAACACATTTTGGCTGGTGTAAAACGTGGATATCTGCCTCTCAAAAGCGTTAATTTGATGGGTGTTGAAAGTCACGTTAAATATACAGTGGGTGGTTGCATGTGGGTCAAAATTAATAGGTTTTCCAATACAAATATTCATCAGAGAATTTTTACATTGTAGGACTTATGGGATTTATGAATAGGCTGTGGACTATCACGGTTATGGTTTAGTAATAATATGGGTATAAATTACATTTTCAAA